TGAGACATGTATTCTTGAACTGATTATGAACACTGAAACTTCAACTGTTTATGGCATACTGAGTAATCTATATTAAGACTCGGGGGCATCAAACCCAAGTCTATATTGAATACGCGCTGAGCTCACAACGTTCATAATGAAAGTGGTGAACGAGTTATGAAGCTAAAGAATAGAAGTTCTACAACTATTCAAAAAACCAGGCTTAACTATATTTCTGTTGCAATTGGTAACGTCGTAAAAGAAACGTAGTGTAGGGAGAATCATTAACATTCCCAAACATAGAGAGTTAGCCTCACATACCTTAACTTCCTGCTCTTGAGCATAATACAACATTCGCCAACCCTTTCAACTTTAATCTATATCAACACAAGTCAAAGGGATTCCAAATTAGCAACAATAGTCATGTTTTGGTCACTTAGGCATTTTATCAAACACTCGGTGGCATAAAGCTTTATAGCCCTTATTAATGGTGTCTCTACACCCAATAACCCATTCTCCTGCTCCTACAAATTCTAAAATCTCAAATGGTTATAATCAACATTATTCTTTATCACCCATAAGGTAATCAACACCCATAACCAATAATAACCAATCAACAACCCAAACTTATCACCGTTCATGCTTTTCTATCAAACTCATCAACTCATATCTCATGAAATAGAGTCTATAATCATTAATTCAATGATAGAATCAATTAGAGGGTGAAGATATTACCTTTTTGACGTTCAATCTTCTTGAATTCGAGTTCTAGGGTTTCTTCTCTCAACAATGGTGTCCCAATCGAATATCTAATGATATGGAGGGTTTACCCATGTTAATAAGATGTTGGAAAATTAAAATTAACTTAGAATCACCATTAGAACTTACCTTGGGTGGTGGAAGGACCCTTAAGGAGTTAGGTTTTTGATAGTTTTCCTTTCTAGAGCAAGTTTTTATGTTTTGGGGCTGTGGGGGACGAAATAAGGCTAAAAAACGACTTCCCAAGTCGTCCACCGCGGTCCCGACCGCGGTAAATCGCTGGGACACTGCCTCACCACCGCGGTCGCGGTAAAAACGCGGCAGGAACGCGGTGGTTACACACCATTCTGTAAAACGGGCATAACATTTTGCACAGAGCTCTGTTTGGGCTCCACAATATATCGTTGGGAAGCTATTTCAATGGCCTACAACTTTCATGCTTTGAATTTTCGCAAATTCCTTATACATTTTCACTAAACCCTACTGGAAGACAGACCTTCTGCAAACTTAGTCGATTTTGTCAAATCTTATGCACCTCACTTCCCATCTTGGTTTTGAAACAACTATTTTCATTCATAATCATCCCGGTAGAACTTCATATGTCCAAAATATAACATTACTACTCCTTTAACTCATTCATACCTAATCTGAATGTACGGGATGTTACATAATTATATTGGAAATCTTTATATTTCATTTCCAAGAGGCATTGCCTACTAAATCGACACTAAATCAGGAAATCATAACCAGTAAAGCAAAGGATTACAATATTAAGTTTGTCGTGTGAATAATATAAATTTTTAATGTGAGGATGATCCTATAATAAAAGCATATTCGTACTGTAATATAATTACATGAGAAATACTATAAGTTTTACCATTTGAAAAACATTCGATCCCTCACTTTATAAATTCATTGTAATACATTTAAATATGCTTCTTGTTAGTTACTTTTCATTTCTTGTTCTCCTTTTATTATACAAAATCTATATATCTCTGATCAAGCCTAACACTACATATTATAACCAAAACAAATATTTGATAGAATGCCCCACTTTGGGCTGTTGATTATATGTATAAACAGAATATTAAGTTCATAAACTTAATAAATCTTTAACAAATTTACACAGCTCAATAACTGTACTAAAAAAGGCAGTCGGTGCACTAAGCTCCCGCTATGCGCGGGGTCCGGGGAAGGACCGATTCATAAGGGTCTATTGCACGTAACCTTACCCTGCATTTCTGCATGAGACTGTTTCCACGCTCGAACCCGTGACCTCCTGGTCATATGGCACCAACTTTAATTTATCATTTTCTTTTCTTTTTTTCCATTGCCTAGCCTTTTTGACTAATTTTGACTCAATTTCCAAGCTGGCAAAAAGACAATGAAGCAAAAGAGTGTGCATAAATGGGAATAAGCACGTGTGGATTGTGAAAGTCAGTAGCCTTCCATGAGTTTACCTCATGCCATTCCCTTCCCCATACATTGTGTGGTCTTTAGCTTCTCGTTCCTCTCTTTTCACTATCACTATACCCTACCCTATCTCACATTTTTTTTTTGGTCTTTCACATATATAGTGTTCAGTACTCGTATTCGGACCCGACTAATCCGGATTCCGTAGCGCATATAAGGTCCATTAAAAAGTGAAACATTTCTTATCAAAATTTTTTCCATACCCATGACTCGAACCTAAACCTCTAGCCAAGATCGGAGAGACACACTACAGCCACACGGTGGTACCCTATCTCACATTATGCTTTCATTGTTCACTCAAATCTCAACAACAACTACGACAAGTCCAGTGTAATTTCACAAGTGGGATCTAGGGAGGGTAATGTATCCGCAGTCTTACCCTACTTTATGAAAGTAAAAAACTATTTCCGGTAGACCATCGGCGTAGGAAAAACACAGTCACAGCATTATCAACAATGACAACTCAAATCTCAAAAAAGTAGAAAGATTCAATCAACACTAATAAAAATGGGGTCGATATTTTCTGCAAATGCCACTCATATCAATGCTATAAATAGGACAAGAGTAGTATTACCCCTCATCAGCACCAAAAACTAGTGTTTAATTTCCAGAGTTCTCATATATACTCATTTTAAGTTTTCATTTTGTTCAAAAATGGTGGTAATTGTGAGCGAAAACACATCACCATTTCTTCCTAGCAGGATTCTAGCAATTGAAGCTAGGCCTGTAATTAGCTTCTGTAGTATGAATCAAGAATCTGAAAGTGATGATGATGATGACATCGATGATGGAGCAAAAGTGGCACCCGCCGCATAATATTTGCATGGGTAATTTATCGTTCAGATCATACATCTAATTAGAAATTATTTTTTTTGTCCAAAAAGAAAAAAAAAAAATTGCTCTCACCATAAATTATTCCTTAAGAAAATTGGGTTAGGGAGGGACTTGTTACCTCCTTAGAATTAGTAGGAACCCCTATTTAGTCTTAAAGGGGAGACTTACGCAACCGTAAAGTTGTCTCTTTGTGATCTATAGATTATGAGTTCGAATCGTTGAATCAGCCACTCATATTTGTATTAGGGTAGGCTACCTACATCACTCCCTTTGGGTATGATTTTTCTCTGGACCTTGCGTGAACGCGGAATACTTCGTGCACCGGACTGTTCTTTTTTTTTTTTAATTTAGTCTTAAAGTCTTTATTGGAGTAATTAATAGTGATGTGAATGTATGAGGATATCTCAATTTCCTATTCCTAGAGCTAGCAAGTTTATGCATGTAGTGAAATTAAACGACATCTAATTAAAGAAGTGCTTTGTCTCTACTTCGTTTAGTTGCAAAAATTTCCATTTGTTGTCTTCTTTTTTTCTTGTATCAGTAAGTAGAACCACTTTTTTATTATCTTGGAGCTATTATACATTTGGAATTAAATATCATAAGAGATTGAATAATCTATGACACAACTTCCAATGGTGGTTTAATGCCTTCCTCATTGACGTCAGCGTCACATGAGCCTATCTGACCTAAATAGCACGGTTAAGTCCAAGAAGAACACGACCGTCATGGGTGGTTTTGAGTATGGGAAGTAAGTTCATTCCAAGAAATGAGGAACTTCAAAAATTAATCTACGTTTATACTTCAACCTTCATTTGGAACCACCAATTTAATTATTTCTTGAAACATTAAATTAAACTTATAATTTGAGGGAAATTAGTATTTGTGTTCTCATGTTTTAGAATAGAATTGCTACATTTGTGGACTACTTTAAACTTTCCAATTTCCCTTTCCTTTAATTTCTAACAAATCCATTTCAAGAAAACCCACACAAAAAGACAAGGAAAAAAAAAATCATGAAAAAAGAGGAGAAAAACGAGAGAATATATATATTAAAAGAGGCAATGAATCTACCTGAAGATGTAATTTTCGAGATTTTGACAAGACTGCCTGTGTCTTCTTTGATTAGGTTCAAATGTGTCTGCAAATTATGGTATTCTCTGATCAAAAACCCTAATTTCATATCAAAGCATTTACATAATCTTAGCAGCAAAAAAAATTACGTTCGTTTGTTAATTAGTCGCCGCGGAAATATTACAAATAAAAGGGTGGTCTCATTATCCATAAATGACACATTTGATGTGTTTATTAATCAAGATTTTCCATCATATTTCAATGATAAATTTGGTCACGTTAGACTTATTGGTCCATGTAATGGAATTGTTTGTTTATGTGGATATCTAGATAATATTGTTATATGGAATCCTTCAATTAGAGATTACAAAATATTGCCTCAATCACAAATTCAACGTCTAGTTGGTTCAACAGTACGTGGAAGTGATTTTGGATTAGGGTTTGATTCCAAAAGAAATGATTATAAGGTAATACAAATTTTATTTTGTCTTTCAAATGATCGTGTTGTTGTTTATCAAGTTGAGATATATTCATTAAATGAAAATTCTTGGAAAAAGTATAATGGAATTGTGCCAGCTAAAATAAAGTATGGTAATATTTCTTGGAGTATGATATATAAAAATGAGATTTTTTGTTGGTTAGCTCAAAATGGTGATAATAATGAGGTAATTCTTTCATTTAATATGAGTGAAGAGACTTTTGAAAATACACCATTACCATCAAATATTGGAGTTTTTGGGGAGCAAGAAATTAGAAATATTTGGGTTATTGTACCATTAAATGAGTCAATTTCTCTTATTGTTTATTGTTTGAAACAAGTGGAGAAATATTTTGATATTTGGGTGATAAATGAATTGGGATTAAACAATTGTTGGACTAAATTGCAAAGAATTGGCCCTCTTTCTAGGGTTGAGAGGCCTTTAGGGTTTTGGAAAAATGGTGAGTTTATTTTGGAAAATAGCAATGGACAATTAGTGATTTATGATCCTGCAAATCAAGAATTGAAGACACTTGGCTTTTATGGAAAAAGAGACAGACTTGAGTTGGTTGTTTATAAGGAGAGTTTAGTTTCAGTCAATTGATAATTGTAAAGCTATGTGAAAAATAGCAAAGACAAATTCAAAATCTAGAGTTAGTTAGTTTAGGTTTTTCTTTTTTTTTTTTTTTCTTACTTGTGTACATATTCGAGAAAGTAGTGAATTCAGTCGAACCAGCATGACATGTCCTCAATTCGCCTGTGAAATAGTATAGGCTGCATTGTTTTCTAAACCCTTGTAGTTGATGTGAAAGTAACTTCTTCTTGTACATATCAGGTAAATGAATAAAAAAAGTGAGAAAAGAAAGACACATTATTTTTAACTTTATATGTGTTTCTCTATTGAATTGCTAATATTTCTTGACGAGCTTTTGTATTTTGGTCCAAGAATTTGGTAGATGGAAAAGATAATTTGATCATATATTATTGTAATAAGTTGCATTGGCAACTACAAAATCCTTCAGAAAACTGAGTTGTAATGTTCTAATTAGCCAAAAATCGAAGTTTATTCGATCCCTAAAAAAATTCTTTTCATGATTAAATCGGCGTGATTTTTTATACTGGAACAACAATTGACATGCCAACATGTATATCTAAATCTTCATGAAAGATGTCTTGGTTATTGGATCTTATAGGCAAAAATAGGAAAAAGTTACAATGTAACTAAACTTGATTTCCCAAATATTTGATGTGTAATAAAATTTGCTTGAACAACTAGGCAATTTCATTAGTAAGATCTCTATTAAGGGAAAATTCAGCGTGGAAACTATATTATCACCTTTGAAAATCTTAACTTGTTAATCATTTGCTTTTAAGTTCGAGATTTCCACTTTCATGGTTATTAAACGAATCATAGAACTAGTTTGGCTATTAATACACCTTCGGAACGTTTGGTGTCGACAATAAGTAGCAGCAACAATAACCCAGTATAATCCCGCTAGTGGGATCTGGGGAGGGTAGAGTGTACGTAAACCTTACCCCTACCCGGAGCGGTAGAGAGGCCGTTTCCGAAAGACCCTCGGCTCAAGAAAACGAGAGATAATAGATTCGTAACAACAACAGGAACCAGAAAAAAATAATATCAGCAACGTAAGAGACAGCAAATAAATGGAAGGGCAATAACACAATAACACAACATAAGCCGCTAGCGGTCAATAAAATGCAAATGGGAGTAAAAAATGAACGCTTGTGGATTTGGCGAAGAGTAGTCAAACTTGGAGCAATAAGAGTTGGCCAATACTAAGTTAAAAATATTAGTACAAGATTCTATGAATACCACTTAAAATTGGCACATCAACATTCTAATAAAGATGAATGTAGCTATATAGATCACTAATTCACGCTACTTCAAACTGGCAAATGGACATACTAAATAAAGATGGACATAGCTATAAAAGACAAGATCTTAGTACTTAACCAGTACATTTTTCACTTGTATAGGTTAGTTGTCCTTGATTTTTGATTAGTTTGCTAATGGGAGGATTTCACTTTATCACCATCTCTGGGTCCATAGGACCTATGTGGTTAGGAAACAGAAACCTGAAACTCTACATTAAGGGCTACCGGAAAATGGACTTGTACAGGAATGTAGAAGCAACTTTTTGAGTAGCGGAGATGGCTCAGCTCACTGTTCAGCTTTGGAGTTACCTATCAAGCAGCAGGCACAGTTGACATAAAATTTAATTGCAGAACTGACTTCAAGTCTACATCGAAGCTGAAAGCGAGGGGAGAATCCAGTCCCAACACAAAGAGCACTTCTTCAATTCCTCGTAAGAGCAGTAGCAAAACTAGTGCTACGGTGTAATAATGGCTGCATCCAGTTAGCAACTAGAATATCGCCTCTATTTCAACAGCTTAATAGCCGGTCTCTATTTCAGCAGCTTAATACCCCCATCCATCGTCCCTTTGATGTAGCAAACCTCATTTTAGGATTAAATTCCCTACAGCATAAAAACCTATCTGTTACTTTTACCTTCTTGGGGTATCTGCCAACATGAAAAAAAGTATAAAGGCAAGATTCTTACAGTTGTTTCTGTGAAGAGAGAACTCTCTCTCTTAATGTGTGGATAGATCAACCAAAACCAGTTTTGTCAAGATCCATTTCCACGCTGCCGTTTAGGATGATCTCTTTTCATGGTTCCTCCTCCATGCATGAACGATCCCTGTATGGGTAAAGAGACTTTGAGGTTCAGAGCTTTGAAAAATTCAAGCCAAATGAGATAAAAGTCTTTTGAACATGATATTTGATGAATCATTCCAGTTTGTCTTACCTTTGATATATGAATGCCGCCTCTTTGATGAGGTGTATAGGAGCGCTGATGCTGGCCGTGGTACATAGGTGAACTGAGAGAATTGTTGGGATTCATATCCATTCCATTATAACTCCCACGATCAGGCTGACCAATCTCAGTAGCACCGACCATTGTAGTAAGCGAGTCCACAGGCTCCAGCAGCGATGAGATACCTGCCATCCCATTGTACGAGAGGATGCAAGCCATTGCATATACAGAGGCTGCAAGATTCTCAGGAAGAACTTTTCCAGGATGTGAGACCTGCATAACATTCTATTCCAAATTAAACCAACCAAAAATCACATACTCGAATACTATCTTGACATGGCACCAGCGCAGGATACCTAATCACTTTGCTTTGTTTCACTCTCTTTTCTTCTTCTTTTGCTTGGGGCTGGAGGGGAGGGAGAGGAGATTTTCTCTTTAAAATAGTGCAGGATAGAGGAAATTACCTTGAATAAAATTGCTGCAGCTAATCGCTCTCTCAGGCAGTAAATTTGAGCAACATCAAGAGCTGTCGACTTGAAAGGAATCCACCTATCAACAATGACCTTAACTGTATTTTCAGGAGAAGACATAACTTTCTCTCCTTGATCCGCTTTAATATTATCTTCCTCACCATCGTCCTCATCAGCATCTTCGTAATCACTTCCATCATCATCATTGTCGTCATCATCATCATCATCTTCTTCATTTCCAGGAGCCACTACAATCTCTGTTGCCAGCAACAAAAGTGGGAGTGGCCCAATGACACTACAGTTCCTTATATGAAGACCTCCATCACCACGTGTTATCTCATCATATACAATTATTGGTCGATCAAAGAATTTTTTGAATGAAAGCTTAAAGTTAGTAGAATGAGGGTGCAATCGAACTTTATCGCCACCTGCAGTCTCTATGACAGCCCTCTTACCACCTTTCAGAGGCGGAAGCAGTCTTCCAACCATAGGGTACAAACCAGCAACAAGAACAGCATGTAATATGCCTGGATCCTGTGCGTTAAGGCTACAGGAAGATCCATCTCCTGGAATAAACCCATTCCTCAAGAGTTCAGATTGCAGTTGTTTACGCATTCCTGATAACATGTTCATAGTACTTGAGGATATAAAGTACGTAGAACAAAACCTCGACTCTTGGCCACTTTCTTTCGCACTTTTCCAGCCCTCAAATGCAGCCACAACTGCTAATTGATCACTTCTTCCACCATACCATGAGGCTAACTCGGCTCTTGCAGCTGAAGCTCTCTTCTTCTCATTTGGCAACATAGGTAGGGTAAATGGATCTCTATAGTCAGAAGCACAGGCCAACGTCAATGCTGGATCAAGGCAGTTCAATAATATAGCAATTAACAGCATCTTGCTTGTAAGAGGATGAACTGGTAAAGACCCTAGCCTTTCACCAAGCTCTGTAAGTTTCTCATCAACTGATAACGCCCCAATATCTTGCAGAACAATGATTGCATTACGTATGGTCTCGTAAACCGGAGGGTCAAGTGTCTTCTTCAGAAATTCTTCTATCTTGCAATCAGGGTTAAGAAGCTTGACCTGCCAAAAACAAGGTATCAACTGTTTTACAACAAGCTCTGTTGTTTACAATAGTTTACATTCACTATCAGTAGCTTTTTTAGACTAAGCTATGATAATTTTCAAAAGCCTACTGGAATTTATTTATTTTTAAATTTTCATTATTGCAAATCACTTCACCTTCTTTCACCCCTAGCTAATGTTTTACAACTACCAATAAAAAGCTAAATATATTTCACTTAATCGTCATGCTGAGTATTCCCAGTATAAAAATCATATTCCTAAAGGACAAGGAAGAATAATGAAGCACCTGAAGACATAATTCCTCTATAGGAATCCTCTTAATCTCAGGAACCTGGAAATCAGGCAATGAAGCTGCTCGGAGTTTTGAATAAAGATGATAACAAATTCCTGGCTGGCAGCGCCCAGCACGACCCTCTCTTTGCTTTGCACTAGCTTTTGAGACCCAAGAAGATTGAAGCGTTGATACATTATTATAAGGGTCATAACTTTTTTCTTTCATTCGTCCACTGTCTATTACATAAACAACATCATCAATGGTAATGGCAGTTTCAGCAATATTAGTTGAAAGAACAATTTTGCGGCAGCCTGGTGGAGGGCGTCTAAAGACCTTCTTTTGCTCCACAGCTGGAACCATAGAATGGAGAGCGATTACTGAAAACTTAGACGTATCTTTGAAGTACTGGCTTGAGCGTAATCTCTCTCGTGTTCTGTTAATATCCTCCCAACCAGAGAGAAAAACAAGGATTGCTCCGTCCTCTGAGTCTATACATATTTTTCTTAATAGTTGCTCAATAAGGACATCATCAATCAGTTCAGGGTCAACTGTTGATAGGTATTTGTCAAGTAAATGCTGCTCCTCACAATTGGAAGATGATTTCTCCATGTGTTTTTTAATTAGTTCAGCAGCTTCTTTCTGATTCTCCCGTTCAGCCCAATCTAGAGCACTTTTTCCATCATTAGCACGTAAATGGCAGTCAGCACCAAAAGAGAGGAGCATGCAAATGTCACCAATACAGCCTTTTCCAGCAAACACCATCAATGGTGTCACTCCACTCAAAGAATGCTGATAATTGAACACTTCTGGTCCCCCGTCCGAAGATATTAGATCTAAAAGGGGATCAAGATCATCATCTGAAAAAGCCAAACTAATTGCTTCATCTAAGGCAATTTTGTACTCCTCAGTTAATGTTGACTCCTCGGACATGGCAGTGGTTGAGGTGGAATCAAGGTGATTATTTTCAGTTGACTTTACAATAGAAAGTACATCCTCAAGATAAAACGTTTTTACCTGACATAGGTGTAAAGGGGTAAATACTTCAAAAACTCACATCACAAATCAACAAAGAGATAAATCTGCATCTTGGAATTAAGGGAAAGGTTTTACAGGATAAGTAAATCCTGGGACTCGGATAACTGGGCAGCCGCCAAAGTATTTTGAAAAGCGTTCAGCATCAAGTGTAGCACTCATCAGAACCTGTTTGGAGGTTCATTCAATTGTTATATCATCAAATGACATGCACATTGAAACAAGAAAAGAGAGGCACAATCTTATACAATACAAAAGCATAATGAAAAATTCAACAGTATACGTTCTTACCAGACGCAAATTTGGATATGACGGAAGCAAGTCCCTGCAAGTAAAGAAAAGACTAACCTGAACATTTTGCTGTTTCACGGGAACTTTAAATTAATAGAAATTAGGTATAACACCTTTTGAATGTTTTGTCAAATGAAAATGACAAGCTAATTTCAGGAATCAGGACAGAGATTAGCATAAGTAAACTGCAGAAATGAGGTTAATTGACTTGACTTGTTGACAAGCCAAAGATTAGCACATTATGGTTCCAGCTCCTATCAGAAAGATCATTCAAAACAGGCAAAAAACCGTGAAACATGTAACCGATGAAATAGATTAAACCTGTGCACCTGAGAATCGCGAGCATGAAATCGGAGTAGCGATCCCTTTCATGAATTTCGTCCTATGAAATTTGAAGCTCGTAAGGTAGCAGAAAACAAAGAAGAAGCACAGCTGAGAGTGCATGTCAAATTAGAAAGTATTAACATCATCTACAAGCAGAAGCAACAAAGGATAACATGATCAAGAAACTTTGCAAGCAACAAAACAAACAATGAAACAGAGATCTATGAAATGTTTTTAGAGGATACCTCCGCATTCAAAGATTGTTGGATTAAAGAAGTACTTTGATTCTGGCCAAACCCTAGATTTCTAAGAGGGAAGAAAACGCAAAAGCCTTCAATAGGAATTATTCTGCAAATTCAAATTTACAAGAACCCTAGATGGAATTCAATATACTGATAAAAAGTCAATTTTTATAATCTTGCATTAGATATGAAAGGGAAAAACTGCTAAGCATAACGATAAACACCCTACACCAACAAAAGTTCAATATGTTCCTTCCCAATAGATAGCAATAAATTTGAACTTGAATGCTTAGTGCATATTGCATAAATCCAGTAGTAATCTGTTCTATGTAATAGCAAACCCCTCAATTTCTAATTTTTTTAAATATTTAGCAAACCCCTCCATAAATTTAAAGAGCGACAAAGCTTATGCAAGCACAGAACGATTTTGCATCAACCAACATCTAGGATAACCTAGATGCCAAACTACTACTTCCAGGACATGGCCTCCAAATGACCAATGAGTGAAGAGGCCTTCTTATATATCTTGAAGAAGTGAGTTAGTTTAATGTTCATGTCCTTCTTAATTGCAACAAGCCAACAACAGACAGTTGAGTGAAGAGGGGTAGTGGATGATGGAGGGACTTCTCAGAAGCAGTGGATTAACAGCACAAGAAGAGGTCATAGCATATGTAGGAGCAGTAAATAAAGTTGAAATGCTTCAGAGGATATGTAAGAACACTAATTAAGTGAGAAATGCAAAGTACCACAATGATGTGGGTTATATCAGAAATGTCATTCGTGCCCATTTTCCTGGGAGCTTTCTTGTTGAAGCTGGCACTTCCTTTGGTAACCAGGATCCTCAGTAGAACCCCATTGGTACAAAACACAATTGATGAGTGCTTCCCACCTCTGCTTTCCAGCCGTATCTGGAATTTTCCACAACTCAGTAATTAAAGGTCATACTTAAATTACATGCATAGAATGGAGAAGAGGTAAAGAAGAAGTCTTTCTTCGACTGGGGATTGGGGGTGGGATGGAAAGGAAGAACAGTGACAATGATGGCATTTAAAGTGCTAGAACAAGCAGAAAAATACAGTCTTCATCATCAACTAAGCACCACATAAATCATCTTTAGAAAGTTAATAAGCACACGAAGATAAAATCATCTGTTGATTAAAGAATTTTTGCTACTGGTGAGGAAGCTAAAAGCTTAGATCTCTCCTCTGTTGCGCACCTCCAATTAATGTTTACAACCTCCTCTTGAAAAACATGCGATAATCCACCTTACCTCGACAAATACAGCTTTATCTTAACCTCTGCTTTAGAAAGGAAAGAATTTCAGAAAGTGAACTTCACCTTCACAGAATCCTCTTTTAGAAAGTCGAAAACCTCAGCCAGGATTTGAAATGGATTGGGTTGGATATCCATTTACCACACGGGTGGAATTAGCAGTTTTCTCTACTTGATACTGTTAAATCATAATTTATATAATTTAAACCTTACCTTATCTTAAAAATAATTATTCCATATGATTCATGGGTGGGATTAGCAGTTTTCTCCACTTGATACTGCTAATCATCATAATTTATTCCATATGATTCAAACCTTACCTAATCAAAGAAAAATATTCCATATTATTCACTTTAATGTTTCATCCTTTTTGTCACTTATCATCTGACTCTTGTAGAAATTCATGATATGGATATCAAGTTTGAAAGTCTAAACATCTTCTCAGTTGTTGTTTTCGACTTGAAATTGAGCGGAGAAGTCTTGAAATCTTTTTTAAAGTGAAAGAAACAACAACAACAACAACAACAACAACCCGGTAAAATCAGTGGGGTCTGGGGAGGGTAGTGTGTACACAGACCTTACCCCTACCCCGAAGGAGTAGAGAGGCTGTTTCCGAAAAGACCCTCGGCTTAAAGTAAAAGAAAGGAATAAGAATTTTTTTTATATTGGGCCAAAACGCTTGGTCCCAATACCAGAAGAACAAAAACAAAATTTGGTATGGGAAGGAGTATGATGTCATTAACAAAAGACGGTTCCCAAACCCCAGTTTACTAATATTTTGGTCAAAGGAAAAAGTGATACAGCAAAATTGAAAAAGAAATAACCACATTAGGAACAGTGTAGTACCTTGTAACCAACAGTGTCGCCAACACTTTCGCCTCTTTCAGCAGAGATTCTCTCAGAAACTGAACATGGAAGAAGCAATACTCAGAACAATTATGAATTGACCACCACATTCCACATAGAACGCGAAAGAAATGGATCCTTCAAAGTGGACATAAGGTGCCAACCTGATGTGGCAGAAATTCGTCGGGGCTGAGTACATACAATTTTACATGTCTCACCTTTACCCCACATATGATCCAAAATAAATTGGGGGACCTGAATCATAGGAACAAAAAAGTTACATCTAGTAAGCACTACATATTTGTTTGAGAAAAAGATAATAGACTGACTAAAGCCTTGAAGCTATAACCTGTGTAGTTTTTCCGCATCCAGTTTCACCAGAGATCAAGACCACCTACACATGGAATAAACATATAATATAGTCTGTCCAAGATGAGAACGATCAAACATCCAAACCCCATATCAGGCATTAAACCAGAATGATACAAGCAGTGCCAATATTTTGAGGGTAAGAAGTGCACAGTCCTGATGAAAGAAAACAAGCCTTTATCTGATCTCAAAGACTTTTCTTAGTCTGAACATAGTGACGGGCGCATTTATTGATTGAGATTGGAGAAGAAAAAGTACAAAGGCATAGTCAGGTCATGCAGTTTAATGCTATATAATGGTCACCTGATTAGATTCAACTGTTGATGTAATGACATCCTTGAAGGAAGCAATTGGAAGCTTAGACCTCTGTACTGTAATCTGCAAGTAAATAACCAGAACAAGCCATTACTAATTCTTTTCTTGTTCTCTTCGCTTTTGAAAGCATATTACAAAGGTAAGGTGCTTTAACGAACCTAAATCAAGATGGTATATAACATTAGTCAATTCTAAAATAGAAAACTGAACAAACCTGTCTCAGGTTTGGGGTATTTTCTATTCTTGAAGCAAGTGACTCCACCCTTTTTGCAATTTCAGACTTGTTCATTGCAGGTTTACAGAACATATCATCCTTATTTCCTCGATATTTATCAACTTTCTTACTGTGTTTCCCAACTGCTAGTTCACTTGTCTCCCCATTATCGGGTGGATATCTTGTAAATAAATCCTGTAGAACATCTTTTGCTTCTCCAAAAAATTTAAAACAACTTAGTGCATCCTTTCCTTCCAGTGTCTCCACTGTATTTTTAGTCTTGAAAATAGATATACGACGTTGATCCCCACGCCTACATAAGACAGGTCCATCATCTTAAGCCAGAAAAGGAAAAAAATATACCGTCTATTTAACATGACTATTAAATGCAAAGGAAAAAATGCGAGTAACATGTTTATAATGCTGAAACTCACTACACCTACCCAGAACTTTTGGATTTCATACCCATTTTCCGGCATAACATATGAACTGCAGCTCTGTCGCGATTTGAAAGGTTTGATTCGAATGTATACACTGCGTCAACAAATAAATATCTTAATATTTACATACAAATCACAATTACGTCATTCGTATATTTTTTTTTTTGTGTGTGTGTGTTTGGGGGGGGAGAGGGATATAAAGTCACAATTACCTCATTTACATGTCATGAACAATTATAGAAGAAATGGAGCATTAAAGATGTTTTATCTACGTAACAAGAGAACAGTTAAATTATTTCCAGACTGTGGATTACCCTGCTTTCGATTTTCACCGAAAGAGGTCAATACCTTGAGGTTAGCGCAAACCACCAATTCTAGTAGACATATGTTCATCACTTAAAAGAACATATTTCTTTCACAATCTTCCCACAAGCCTCATTTCATCCGTATCAAAGAAAATACGAGAATAAACATATATGAGCAGATACAATAGTTTTGGAAAAGAGCTTGTCATATCTCAGATTCTCAATGCAAAACCAAGCAAGAATGCATCAATTGCACACAGACCTTCACATAATCATGTACTTTACAAGTCACTTAATATAATGAAATCTGAACATACAATTTGTATTCGTGTAATACCCATGTTAAGCAGATCTAATTTAATGGTCGAATGATGCATGAAGAAAGTCATTACCCTCTCAATCATGAAAAGACACCTTATTTATATGTGTATCTTCTAAGATGAATATAAGGTACCGGGTGCTAGTAAGTTATTAACTTGGAAATGATATACATCCATGTAATAAAACCAGTACTTTTCTTCTCTCTTCTTTTGGCAAACCAGCTCATGCAGCATTTTCATTGTTTAAAGTTTTAAGCAGCAGCATTTCACATGTAGATGCTAAAAAACTAAACAGTTACGTAAAAGGGCACTAGCAACATAAATTGAATGTAAATCATAAATAATGTAATAGTGGTCGAATTAGAACAAGGAAAAGCATTAGCACTTCGGTAATTGGAATATGCAACTAAAACCACGCTTACTACCTGATCCTGTACAGCCCCTATTCCCCCAATTCAGTTTCTATTTGTGTCTCAGCTGTATAGAGCTATCCACCCATTAAGCTGTTTTTAGATAGAAAAAAAAAATAATTTGTCTTACAAATTGTTGAGCATCCGAATGAAACACGTCTTAATGGAGTGATATCGACGTTGAGGATTCATATAGCCAACCTCACTTAGTTTTCCCAAAACATTTTACAATCTTTAAACATCAAACACAGTTTTTGCGAAACAATTTACAGTCTTTAAAGCATCAAATACAGTTTTTCGCAAAACATTTTACAATCTTTAAGCATCAAACATTCCATTTTATTAAATATCAGCTCCCAAAGCACCATACTCAGCAACAAATATATGAGACCTTAACATACAACCAATAAAGTATTAATCTTTTTTTTTCTTTGACAAGTTGTAATAAAGTTAAAAAATTTATCAAACGAAACAAAACAAAAAGGAAATTCAAGTTAATAGAGTTTATTACTTTTTCCAAATTGACGTCATAATAATTAGTATAACTGCAAAAACAGTGACTATTACATAAATAAATAGATAAATAGTGATGTATCAAATTCAATTAAAATACCTTCATCATTAGAAGCACGGAACTGTTCAAGAACTTGGGCGACCCGAATCCGAGTGGATTCTGCAACATTTGTAACCTCTTGTTGTCTTTGCCCTTTCTTTTGCCTCTTTTTACCAAACCCAGATGATGATGGTGAAGCTCCTGTAGCTGTTGACGCCATTTTCTGTTCTATTCTAAACTCAAAATCTGATTCTATTTGTTTTTTCAGGGGCTATATATAATTATAATTATAATCAAAAAGTTGGAGCGGGATATTCTGCAATGTACGTTTGTTCAGTTTTCTTGTACGATTTATCTTCCTCTTCGCGGCGCTGCTTAAGTTCCTCTTTGCCCTTCTGCTCTCTGTCTAGACTTGTCATAAATGTTTTTTTTTTTTTTCCTTCTTTTTTTTGGGTTTTAATAATGGGACAACAAACAATTTTACAAGAAATATTAAAATGTACTTAACAATCATTAAAAGATGAAAACTCAAAAAAAGAAACAAAACGATCTAGAGACAAAAAGAGGGTTAAGTAATGTAATATAATCAAACCTCTGTATAACAGCCTTATTTGCTCCAATATTTTCTGGATACTACAGTGAGGTGCTGTTATAAAGGACATATATTATAACATAACATAAAAATTGATTTTCGACAAAACTTGGCTTTCATAATAAATGATTGTTATATAGAGATGTTGTTATAGAGAAGTCTGACTATATATAGAGAGAAAAACGATATACATAGTAGCATATAACTTAATTTTTTCCATTTTTTTTTATTGTCGCATGCCCTTGTAACTATTTATTGGAAAACAATAAGTATTTTAATTTATTTATCGAGAAATATATATATTTGTTTAAGGAACCTCTTGCCTTTTACGTAATTTAATTGTTGAATAAACCTATATTTGTGTGTGGAGGGGACGGGTGAATAAAGTCGATAACAGTTTAATTTTATTCAAAAATACTGAATTCTATTGAACTTATTAAATTTGTTGTCAAGCCATCTTTGCATATGTGCACATGATGTTGTAACCGCAAGTCCGTACTTGAATAGAAGTTGGGACTTGGAAGGCAGGGAAGAAATATAGAAATACACAAGTGATGGAAGTTGGAAAGAATATTTTGCCCAAAAATAAAAAAATGTATATTTTTAGCCGCTTGCAAAAATAATAGTTAATAAAATATTTTTTTTATATATGTGTATTATAAACATATATATATGAAATTTTTTCATAAAACACTATAATTTAGAGCCTAATTACTATGTGTAACTATTGTTTGCCTAATCAGCTAATACAACATGTGTCAACTATATTCCTTCGCGTTGTACAAACTATATCATTCATTCGCGCAACGAGATGACCAACTAAACTACGAGAACTTGTTACTCTATTGTTTCAGTTCAAAGCAATTGATCTCTCGTTTCAGTACTACAGATGAATTTGGTATAACACTCAAATATCGCTACGAATGGTCCGGCTATTATTTGTGTAAAGAACCCCCATGTAATCGATAGCGCTTCTGCTTCACCCTTACAGAGCGCCTGTGAAATTAATTGAGCTTTAAAGCCCATGATCGATGCAAGTCTGTAGCATGGTGTTGGGACAAAATGTTCATGGGTTAGAAGTTTCTTTTTAAGAATTAACCTAAATAGTCGTCCATACAAACCGCGTAAATTAAAAATAGGTGATGTGTAATATAATTCATATAAAATATATGTACAGTCAACATACAATTTATGTATATTAATTAAAGAAGTAAACAGTAAATTCAACTGAGACTAAAAATTCATAGTATAAACCTGAATCTCTCTCTAAAAATGCTCTCGGCGCACGTTAGGTAAACGTACGCCGAGCTTGTAGCCATGGCGAGAGGGAGAGGCAGAGGTAGAGGACGACCACGTAAGATACCATTAGCAGCTATTGAGAACCTTATAACAACAATCAAGCAACCAATTATGGAGAAAATAGTAAAGACGCCAGCAACAGTGCAAAGCTCAGATTCATCAGTTGCAGGTGATATAGACTCAATTGGATCGACATCGTACCAGTCTACAGTCTCAAAGAAGCTGGATCTGATCTCCCCAACTCAGATTGGAGCAAAACCAGATCTAACGAAGAAAACCACCAATGGAACAGTAACCATGCAGAGTCCACAGCAGGTCCAAGTACAACCAGTAGCAGCAGTAACGGAGGATTCCGGGGTCATCAATAACAGAACTGAAGAACCCAAGCAGACATGATCAACACTGTTTCAGAAAAACAGATTTGCAACAAATGGTATGTCTCTAGATTATATACCACCTCTAATTGTTGATGGACAGCCAATAGTGCAATTGAACAAATTAGAGGTAGAGGAGGAAGAGAAGAAGTGGAAATGTGCTTTAATTGCCTATATCTTAGGGGATGGACCTGGGTTTAATGCGATGAAGAGGTTTATTAACCTTCACTGGTCACATGTTCCAGAACCAGACCTATTTTATCATGATGAAGGCTATTACATAATTAAGTTCAAAACAATGGAAGATGCTAAGGAAATTCTCTGTGCTGGACCTTACTCTATAGCAAACAGACCTATAATTCTCAAACCATGGACTCCTGATTTTGACTTCACTGAGGAATTTCCTACTGATATTCCTTTATGGGTTAAATTTCCCAAGCTTCCTATGTCCTGCTGGGGAATGAGATCATTAAGTAGGATTGCAAGTGTCCTAGGGAAGCCTATTTTTGCGGATGAATGCACAACCAAACAGACTAGAGTCTCATATGCTCGGATGCTTATAGAGATTAATGTCACCAAAGAATTGCCAAATGAAATATGGGTGATGGATCCAAATGGGAAGAAATTCCTACAAGATGTGTTCTATGACTGGAAGCCATCCTTTTGTGAGAAATGTCAAACTATTGGCCACAGATGCACAGCCCAAGTGAAACCAGCTACAAACCAGCATGCTCAAATGAAGAAGGCAAAAGTAACACAGGAATGGAGAACCAAGGCCCCTGTACATGCTGCTCCTACTCAAAAAGAGACAACAATATCAGCACCACAACAGGTTGTCTCAAATGAGATAAATGAAGGTCAGAAAGAGCCCAATGAGCTACCAAGTCTGATGCCAGAGATGGGACAACAGGAAGATAAAGGGAAAAAAGTTCAGAGCCCAGAATTCAACCTCATTAACTTCCCACCTTTGTCTCCTATTCCTGTAAGTAATAGATTTGAAGCAGTGTCAAATGGTAAGTATGAGGTGCCACCAGGGGATAGAGGTGGACCAAGTAATTATCAATGAAGTGATTTTTCTGGAATATTAGAGGTGTAAATACAAGGTATAAACAGAAGGAAGTTAGGGAGTACATTAGGAGCAATAAAATAAACCTAGTTGGTTTGGTAGAAACTAAGGTTAAAGAAACAAATGCTTACAGAATTGCTAATCTGCTGGTTCCTGGATGGGGTACTCTAACAAACTACAATGAAGCTAGAAATGGGAGAGTATGGATCTTATGGGATACAAATGTGCTCAAAGTTACTGGTCTTCAGGATGATCCTCAACTGATTCATTGCATATTCAAGTACAAAGGGGGATGTTACTTGCTACCTCACTGTTGTATATGGATTCAATGGAATAGAACAAAGAAGGTCGTTATGGGGAAAACTACAGTCCTTTTCAACAACTATCACAGATGCATGGTTAGTTGCAGGGGATTNAGGATTTTGGGGCCTGAGATTATGAGACCTTTAGGGGTCGATTTGAGGGGTCAAATGGACTCCGATTTTGGTGTTCTTTATATGTACGGAATCGGGAGAAGATGAGAACACTTTTCTGTAAAAATTTCTAAGTTTCAAGAAGTGGGCCCGGGGCTCGGGTTTTGTCAATTTCGGGATTATTGATGTTTTTCGATTATTTTTGATTGGGTATTGATGCTATAGCATAATGTGACGTATTCGTTGTGGTTTTGGTCAGATTCGACGTGCAAGGAGGTCGATTTGAGAGGCAAGGGCATAGCGAGCTAGGATTTTGGCCGGCTTGAGGTTAGTAATAGATGTAAATGCTGTGTTGATTGTTTTAAACCCCGAATTTGCACATTGTAGTGCTATGTTGAGGTGACTTGCACGCCGGATAACGGGCGTGGGGTAGAGCACTGTCGGGGATCGTGACTTGGTCCGTCCCGCTTAATAAAATTACTACCTAATTTATTGAAGCTGAGTGAGATCCTTATAAAAATGGATTAATTGCCATAATTTGGCCTCGTGCCAACTGATTGAATCCTTCAGGGATTGTTTTTACTAGTTTCTTGCCATATTTTCAGACAATTGAACTCAGTCCTAGTATTTAGTACTGTTTTGCAAACTCAGCCACTTTTTCTCAAAACTTGGAACTTAAATAATATTTCTAATGAAGTTTGGGCTGAATATTTCTATATTATTGTGCCCGAGGGGCTTATATGATTCTGGACTGACTATGGGATCGGGCTGAGCGCTGCAGCAGTATTATATTGATATTGATATGAGGCTTAGGGCCTAATGGATGCCACGAGATGGCTTGAAATTGCGCTTGGGCCGTAAGGGGCCCCTCCAGGAGTCTGCACACCCAAGTGAGCGCCGTCGACGATAAATAAATGGAGCGGGCTGCACGCCGCAGCAGGTACTAGAGAGTACCGTACTATTTGTTGCATGTCTTAATTGATTGTCATTCATTTACTTATCTGTTGCAGCATCATTGTTTTCATTGGTTTATTGAGTTGACATTATCTGGATTAAACTGCTGTAATTATAGCTTACATTGTGCCTATCCAGGATTTCTTACTCTCAACCCTTATTTATGTTTATTACTCTCTGGGTTGGAAGTACTCACATTACTCCCTGCACCTTGTGTGCAGATCTATTTGCACCCACTGAGGCTGAGTGAGGATTTCTCTGCCGAGCATTATATCTGGGAGCATCAAGGTAGCTGCGTGACGTCCGCAGTCCTGATCTTCCCATCTAACCTATTTGCTTTATTTTCGCATTTCTTTAGAGCAATATGTAGTAGGTTGACACCCGTGTATTAGAGGCTCAGACTTGTGACACCGGATTCTTCGGGCTGTGTAGTAGTATTTCTACTTGGGTTTTCCGCGTGTTTTAGTTATATTTCAGAGTTTCAGTATTATGACTTAGTAATTATTTGTGTTAATTGAATCATGAACTGTATAAAAGGGGTTAAGGTTGTTGAATTGGTCGGGCTTGCCTAGCAGTGTGTTGGGCGCCATTACGACCGGGGTTGGGGTCGTGACACCAGGTGAAACGTGCGCCAGTAAAACCGAGATCATGCATACCTATGTGATGTAAGCATTTTAGAAAAGCATTTATTCTTGAGGTGACTTATGAGGTGAATAATTATAAGATATATGTGGGACAATACATGCATGCAAGTTAATTTTCTCCAGATCAATATAAATATACCAAAAATAATACTTTCTCTCTCTAAAAATGCTCTCGGCGCACGTTAGGTAAACGTACGCCGAGCTTGTAGCCATGGCGAGAGGGAGAGGCAGAGGTAGGGGACGACCACGTAAGATACCATTAGCAGCTATTGAGAACCTTATAACAACAATCAAGCAACCAATTATGGAGAAAATAGTAACCACACCACCAACAGTGCAAAGCTCAGATTCATCAGTTCCAGGTGATATAGGCTCAATTGGATCGACATCGTACCAATCTACAGTCTCAAAGAAGCTGGATCTGATCTCCCCAGCTCAGATTGGAGCAAAACCAGATCTAACGAAGAAAACCACCAATGGAACAGTAACCATGCAGAGTCCAGAGCAGGCCCAAGTACAACCAGTAGCAGCAGTAACGGAGGATTCCGGGGTCATCAATAACAGAACTGAAGAACCCAAGCAGACATGGTCAACACTGTTTCAGAAAAACAAATTTGCAACAAATGGTATGTCTCTAGATTATATACCACCTCTAATTGTTGATGGACAACAATAGTGCAATTGAACAAATTAGAGGTAGGGGAGGAAGAGAAGAAGTGGAAATGTGCTTTAATTGCCTATATCTTAGGGGATGGACCAGGGTTTAATGCGATGAAGAGGTTTATTAACCCTCACTGGTCACATGTTCCAGAACCAGACCTATTTTATCATGATGAAGGCTATTACATAATTAAGTTCAAAACAATGGAAGATGCTAAGGAAATTCTCTGTGCTGGACCTTACTCTATAGCAAACAGACCTATAATTCTCAAACCATGGACTCCTGATTTTGACTTCACTGAGGAATTTCCTACTGATATTCCTTTATAGGTTAAATTTCCCAAGCTTCCTATGTCCTGCTGAGGAATGAGATCATTAAGTAGGATTGCAAGTGTCCTAGGGAAGCCTATTTTTGCGGATGAATGCACAACCAATCAGACTAGAGTCTCATATGCTCGGATGCTTATAGAGATTAATGTCACCAAAGAATTGCCAAATGAAATATGGGTGATGGATCCAAATGGGAAGAAATTCCTACAAGATGTGTTCTATTACTGGAAGCCATCCTTTTGTGAGAAATGTCAAACTATTGGCCACAGATGCACAGCCCAAGTGAAACCAGCTACAAACCAGCATGCTCAAATGAAGAAGGCAAAAGTAACATAGGAATGGAGAACCAAGGCCCCTGTACATGCTGCTCCTACTCAAAAAGAGACAACAATATCAGCACCACAACAGGTTGTCTCAAATGAGATAAATGAAGGTCAGAAAGAGCCCAATGAGCTACCAAGTCTGATGCCAGAGATGGGACAACAGGAAGATAAAGGGAAAAAAGTTCAGAGCCCAGAATTCAACCTCAGTAACTTCCCACCTTTGTCTCCTATTCCTGTAAGTAATAGATTTGAAGCAGTGTCAAATGGTAACTATGAGGTGCCACCAGGGGATAGAGGTGGACCAAGTAATTACCAATGAAGTGGTTGTTCTGGAATATTAGAGGTGTAAATAAAAGGTATAAACAGAAGGAAGTTAGGGAGTACATTAGGAGCAATAAAATAAACCTAGTTGGTTTGGTAGAAACTAAGGTTAAAGAAACAAATGCTTACAGAATTGCTAATCTGCTGGTTCCTGGATGGGGTACTCTAACAAACTACAATGAAGCTAGAAATGGGAGAGTATGGATCTTATGGGATACAAATGTGCTCAAAGTTACTGGTCTTCAGGATGATCCTCAACTGATTCATTGCATAGTCAGAAGTATAAAGGGGGATGTTACTTGCTACCTCACTGTTGTATATGGATTCAATGGAATAGAACAAAGAAGGTCGTTATGGGGAAAACTACAGTCCTTTTCAACAACTATCACAGATGCATGGTTAGTTGCAGGGGATTTTAATGCTATATTATATCCCAAGGATAGACAATCATGTAATCCTGTTAGTTATTCTGAGACTCAAGAGTTTAGCCACTGTATTCAGCAAGTAGGACTTTCAGAGTTACCTTGGAAAGAAGACTATTACACCCGGACAAACAAGCAGCCTGGAGCAGATAGAGTATGTAGCAGATTGGATAGAGTATTTGGCAACTATGAATGGATGATGAAGTGGAGCCATGTGGAAAGAGTTTATGATCAACCACAAATCTCTGATCATAATCCTATGATACTGACTCTAGCAGCATCTTCTTGGAAGGGTAAGGTACCTTTTAGATTCTTTAATGCATGGACTGAGCATGATGAATTTCAACAGATTGTGGCATCTACCTGGTACTCTACAAATTACCATGGTTCTATGAAAGCAATATGGGCAAAACTCAAAGCACTGAAAGGCCCTCTAAAGGCCTTGAATGTTAAGGAGTTCAAGAGTATTACTCAGAAGATAGAGCATAACAGACAGGAACTGAAGGAAATTCAAGAACAAATGGCAAGGGCATATTCTGATGTGTTACTTCAGAAAGAGAAAGAGATAGTATTGAAATTGGAAAGGTGGTCTTTGATTGAAGAAAGTGTGGTACAGCAGAAAGCAAGAGCAAAGTGGATTCAACTTGGAGATTCTAATACCAAGTACTTCACAGCAGTTATGAAGGAAAGAACACAAAGGAAACAGATCACAGAACTTACAAATGGAATGGGAGTTAAAGTAAATGAGCCTGCAGACATAAAAAGGGAGATTCTAGGATTTTACAAGTCACTTATGGGCTCAACAGCTGCATCACTACCTGCTATAAACAGAATGTATATGGCTAATGGTCCAATGTTGTCACAACAACAAAGAATGGATCTCTGTGCAGAAGTAACTGAACTGGAAATTGTGGAGAGTCTAAAAGCAATTGG